GCCGGCCGGGTTTGAAAGGAGTTGCGGGTTTCCGTTCTCCCTCCTTGCTGCGCTCCTCTTGCAGTCACACCGCGCTACTTCTTTGTGCTCCTGTCTGAGCCTGCCTGCTGCCGGACACTTGTCCTGTCCAAACACAGCTCAAGGAAACTTACCAGACCTCGGTTTTTTTTCTTAGCTCTGCTGTTCTGCACCATTTCTATTCACTCTTCTCTCCCCTACTCCTCTACTCACCGTCGAGAATATCTTGTGTTATATGAACGTGTTAACCGATTGGTATATTTTCAATTTTGTCTCTATGCACGTGCCCGCGGCTTGGGGAATGAACAGAGTTAGAGATGCGTGCGTGCCTGCAGGGCTGTGGTCCTGCTGACATCATGGAGAGCTGGTGGGATGGCTCCTACAGCTGCAGCATCAGAATGGAGGTTTATAAACTCTTTAGGAAGGAGAGGCAGGGGAGACAAGGTGGGAGTGTTGCCCTCTATATCAAAGACCAGCTGAAGGAGTGCATGGAGCTCTCCCAAGGGATGGATGAGGAGCCAACTGAGGGTTTATAGGTTAAGATTAAAGGGAAGGCAGGCAGAGGTGACATTATAGTGGGGGTCTGCTGCAGGTTGCCTGACCAGGAGGACAGTATAGACGAGGCACTCTATAGACAGGCAGGAGCAGCTTCATGTTCACAAGCCATAGTATTAATGGAGCGGATCCTCCTGGAAAATCTGCTAAGGCACATGGAAAATAGGTGATATTGATAGCCAGTATAGCTTCACTAGGGGCAAATCATGCCTGACCAATTTCGTGGCCTTCTATGGCAAAGCTACAAGAGCAACTGACATTATCTACCTGGATTTGTGCAAGGCATTTGACACTGTCCCACACGACATCCTGGTCTCCAAACTGACAATTTATAAACTCTTTAGGAAGGAGAGGCAGGGGAGACAAGGTGGGAGTGTTGCCCTCTATATCAAAGACCAGCTGAAGGAGTGCATGGAGCTCTCCCAAGGGATGGATGAGGAGCCAACTGAGGGTTTATAGGTTAAGATTAAAGGGAAGGCAGGCAGAGGTGACATTATAGTGGGGGTCTGCTGCAGGTTGCCTGACCAGGAGGACAGTATAGACGAGGCACTCTATAGACAGGCAGGAGCAGCTTCATGTTCACAAGCCATAGTATTAATGGAGCGGATCCTCCTGGAAAATCTGCTAAGGCACATGGAAAATAGGTGATATTGATAGCCAGTATAGCTTCACTAGGGGCAAATCATGCCTGACCAATTTCGTGGCCTTCTATGGCAAAGCTACAAGAGCAACTGACATTATCTACCTGGATTTGTGCAAGGCATTTGACACTGTCCCACACGACATCCTGGTCTCCAAACTGACAAGACATGGATTTGACAGATGGGCTGCTTGGTGGATAAGTGATTGGCTGCATGGCTGCACCCAGAGAGTTGTGGTCGGTGGTTCAGTGTCCCAGTGGAGGCAGGTGACTGGGACCAGTGCTGTTTAACATCTTTGTTAGAGACATGGACAGTGGGATTGTGTGTATCCTCAGCAAGGTTGCTGTCAACACCCAGCTGTGTGGTGTTGCTGATACCCTAGAGGGAAGGGAGGCCATCCAGAAAGACCTTGACAGGCTGGAGAGGTGGGCCAATGCC